TCCAAAAGAATTCTCAACCGAGGATCTGGTCCTTTTCCCTGATAAATGACTATCAAGTATGAGAAGTTTAATATGTATGACAGTAATATAAACGGTTGCAATGTGATTGAAGAATTGTTAGTGTCCAAAGACTCCTATAATTGCTGCAAGTAAATATTATTTAATAATTTATATAGTATGTCATAATATTATAATTGTAATCTATGTTTCACTGCTTGGAATATTTTGTTTTAAATTATTCATATACATTGCTGTAATGATGATGATATGAAAGGAAAGGGAATTTATAATTAACACCTGCAAAAGCATTGGGGAGAGGGTGTGGGACACAGAGATAGTCTAGTTTGGGGTAGCTGTTATAGCAAGACTGTTTCCACATGCAGCAGTTTGTTTTTCTATATACAATTGCATAATCTACAAAAATGAAAACAAAGAATTCATTTGAGAAATATAATCATACTTTACCTATTAGTGCTTAATGGAATTAAACACTAATAGGTAAAGGCAACCCTCTCCATCTCATCTTAGTACAAGCCTCCAGGAATTACTGGGAAGAAAGCTCCAAGATAAATGATATCTACCCACAAATAAAGTTTATACCTAATATTACTGTATGGTAATAAAATAATTAGGATACAAATATTTTTTGAAAAAAGCCTTAACATTGAAGTGGGAAAAAATTTTCAGTAGGGTTTTCATTAGGTCTTTTCTTCCCAGCTGTAATTCATAGTATCAACAGGAACTTTTTTTAAAAAGTTGCTGTTATGTATGCAATTTTACACATTCAACGATCACAAATTAAAATTGGAGAATGGAGATATTAGTATCAAGAGTGAAGATACGAATGCAAGCATTACAATTTACTCTATGTTGAAGAATCATTTATGTCCTTTGCACAACAGTTATGCTGCATATGGATGTTTAGAATTCATGTCATTTATATATAGATTTCAAAATGTGGTGTTTTCAGAATTCAATTAGTTTGCATCTCTTTAAGAAAGAAGAAAACATGATGGGCTTTCTTCAATCATGTTTGTTTTTTAAAACAATAATGAAGCATGTTATTGTCTTTAAATTAAATATTAGAAGGTAAAAATTACAATGAAACCTCAATTTACTAAATCCTATGGAACAGGCCATGTATAATTTGTGTAATAAATATATAAAACACACAGATAATAAATGTTCTAAAAATTTATGGGTATGTGAATAATGGGAATCTTATCTTCCCAATTAGTCTACTAAAATGAAAATTATTAATAAAGTAGTTAAAGTCTTAGTGACTTTTGAAAAACAAAGACCTTTCCTGAAAGGATGAAGAAGCCATGTGTTTTGGAAGAATCATACAACTGCTTTGAAGGTTTCTGATTGTGTATGCATATGTAGACTCTTCTGTGAAGTCAGAGAACTGTTGCCTGTGCACACAGGAATACAACTAGAAAATTTTTTAATCAGCTGCACAAGCCTCCCAGATATTCAGCTGTGCCTCAATTTTATGCAAGGCAAGTGCTTTGCATAGCTTTATTTTATTCTAATATAAAATTACTAGTAACATAATATAGTAATTTTATAGTAATATTACAGATTATCTGTTCAGTGTGGTGGTAATCGCTCTGAAGTTATCAAAAGTAATACAGGAATAGCAGCCTTTGAACAAACTACAAAAATAGTTTTTGCTTCTGGTAATGTTTTAAACTGTTCATTTTTAGTATCTATCCACCATATGTAGACAAAACCACAAAATCAATGTAAGATCTGTCTCTAGTATTGTTAGTCATCCCTTTATCTTACATACAATTTGCATTGCTGCCTAGGATGGAATGAATAATCAAAATCATTTTTTTTTATTTATCAAATTTATATAACTGCCCATCTCACCAAAAGCAATTCTGGAAGCACACAACAAATAAGTGAAATCATATATAAAAAACTACAGATATAAAAGATACTAAAATCACATTAACAGTAAATATTATATGAGGTACAGACCTAGGCAAAGGAAATAAAAAATAGCCACCTCGGTGATTGAGCATCAGCTTATGAAGGGTAGAAGCAGGACCAAAAGTAAGTAGAATTTTAGAATTATAAAACAGTCTAGCTTTTTTCTTATGGCAGTCCAGTCATCTTGTGCCAAAATGCCTTAAATGCATAGGAAATGAATAGTAACTTCCAATAGAATAGTGTGAAGAACAGGATAATTTGTAGGCATCTAGAAAAACATGATAACGTGTTTCCTGATTTGGATTTTTAAAAAATCCTAAAATCTGGAATGAAACAGCAGGAAGAAGCAACTTCTGTGTGTCTGCAGTACATTGGAATGTTTCTCAATAATGATTCTGCCATACCTGAAAAAGATGTTGAAATAAAACATTTTTTTTATCCAGTACAGAAATAAGGCATACACCCCACCCCCCAACAAGTCTATTGTAGTGAATTATAGTCATTAAAGCTCTTTTAATAAGCCACCGAATAACAACACCTGCATGGTTGGATGCCTTTTGATAGTTTAAATTAGCTGCAAAAGATTTTTCAGTTTTGCTGCCAACTAAAAATATAGCTTTGGGAGAAATTGCTTTAGCAGAATGTTTGCTTTTGGAAAATTAATGTTTCTTTAAAATCTGTCAGGTTTCAAAAGCTCTCCCATTCTCACTTTGTGCATTGATAGATATTACAAATACCATGACTTTCCAGAATAATATAAAAAGAATGTGCCCTATAAGGACTACTGCTATTGCTTGAAGAAATAGGAAACACACCACACAGTATTGCTACTTTCATAAGAATGCGTCTGAGCAAATTAGATGTTGCTCTTTCATCTATCTTCAGCACATCAGACAAACTGTTAGCATCATATGTGAATCCAGGTGAAGGCTCTTTGTCCTCTACACTACAGTCCCAGCACTTAGATAGATATAGATAGATGCTCAGGATGACTGGAAAGATGAGAATGTCTTTTTCAACTTCCTGGATAGGTTGAAGAAAAGAGACTGCAGGCTGGAAGTGGCAACCTGAAGCTTGCATCCACCCATGGCTCAGAAGTGTTTGGAACAAGATAGTTGTCTAGCCAACTATCTTTCTATGTCATAAACAGCCAAGTAATGCTTCTTGCAAAATAGTTTGCAAAATGACTAAGCATATTGTCTGAACATTAGATTATGTTACCTATTGGACACTTTAAACTGTTCAACTATAAGCCATGAATATATATTAAAGTTTGCAGGAGACCAGAAATACTTTGTATTCAAACAATACCCACAAATAATTAGCAAGCTAGAGACATCATTGCTCTTGCCACATGCAGTAGGAGTACATTCTTAATTATTTTATAGTGAGATGGAATAATGTAGTGAATATGTTATAGTTTCTTTTAATTATTTTCAAAGACCGGATTCACACATTTTGCTAAGCTATAATAGGGATGATGTTTGATCATTTTGCTTAGCATATTATGTGATTCCAGGAATCAAGTTGGCTTGCTAAAAATTAACCATAAATGAATGACACTCTACCATTTTAGAAGTTCTGCATACCATGAAATTAAATTTGATGACAGTCTTAGGTTTTCATAGTTGCAGAAACCAATGGCTGCATCATCCATACTATCAAATAATTATAATTAGACATAAAAATGAACTCATACATGGACATAAAATTGTTGATCCCAATACATCAAATAGATGTATGAAATATATGAAGATTTGTCCTCTGTCCATAGTTGTGACAACTGTATCATTGTAAACTTATATGAGGTCCTATTTTAGAGAATTATCTTGTTTTCCTTCAGCCTTCCCTTTCCTGGTCACCAAGTTTTTACATATTCCAATAATAGTAATAAATATAGAATATATATAAAGTTTTACTTGTGATAGACATATTGGAGATATTTTAATACATGGAAAGGATAACATTGAATGTATGAGCTTGTGTGTCACCACACCATTATTTTGAAACCAGTATCTTAAGCTTCGATATATTGCTTGAGTGATATATCATGTTTGTTCATTTTTCATGCTTCTACAGTATGCTTTAACAAGAATTTCCAGAAGCAGCCTAGGGAAGAACTTTGGTGTTGCATCGAAAATTGAAGACCATAGACGACACACTCATTATCACAGGCTTCTTTCAGTAAAGTAATTTATGTGTCACATGGGAGGGTGGTGGAAGGAAGATAGTAGTTGTAATGTTACTTGATTTGTTATTTATGGTTTGGTGTAGTTCATTAGCCTAACGTGCACAGAAAAGAGATTGAGACTCACAGACCAAAACATATGCAAGGTATAGAACTTAACTGTAAGTGGACATAATGCAAAGTAAAATGCAGTGTACAGCATTTGAAGGTTTTACTGAATATCAGAGCTTAAAATGAGTATGCTTTTTCATGCAATAATACATTTCTAGGCACTTGTTTCGACAGTCAAACTTTTTGTACTCCTAAAATTAGTTGTTTTTCTAACCATGGACGTACATATTTCTTTTCCTAAACAAATACATCTAAACCTGCAATTTATATACATAATCTCATATCTGTCAGCTGAAAAGTGACTATTATTTAATGGTCATGAATGCAGCCCTGGAAACGTGGATTTGCTTCATTTTTAACACTTATTATATGCCATGAAAACACTGTCCTATATTTTCTTGTCTTGTCCAATGCAGTCCTGGACCTTCAGTTTTTTAATTAGTTATTTCCAAGTTTGATTTTTAGATTAACTGGTCATGTTTTGCATAGCAATATTTCATGCACTGAGTTGTGATAACATACATTATACAGTTGCTGCATAATGTTTCTCTAACTTTAAGATGCTTTGACATTAAGAGTTTACATGGTTGGTTTATTCAGCTACCGTACTTTCCTGAAAATGGTTTAAATAGAATGGCAAGTTATATGTTCATAAAATAAAGGTACTAAATAGGCTGCCATAACAGAATACAAATTGTGTTAAATATTTGTGTTGGATCATATGATATCTAGCTCCTTCTTTTTCTTTCTTTCTTTTCAGATCAGCAAAAATGGGAAGCAGTAGATTCTGGTTTACTTCTAGAAATGTCAGTGGAACTGGTTAAGACCAAAATCTGAAGGTTTATCTTCGTTGCCCATCACCAGGTGTGCACTGACAGAGGCTACCATAAAACTATTTTGAGTATGAACATCTTTTAAAATGGTATAATACATATATATATGGAAGTATTGTTTTGTAATATAGTTTTAAATAGTAATTGATACTTTATCATTCATTCTACAGTTATGAAAGAAGGAATGTGAATAATGTGTACTGAAGCTGAAAATAGACATTGCTCAATTTTTTTTCAGCTGGTCTTTGAGAAGTGTAATATTTGAGCAACAATATTAAATACTGTCTGCATTGCTCAGCCTGTACATCCACAATTGAATTAGCAATATTTGACAACTACAAATAATAAACTAGTGTTTTAATTATTTAGAAATTTACCCAAGGGATAACAGAACCAAAAGCAGCTGGGCTTCAAAACACTATGCGCATTGTTCATCATTTACATGAGAACTTTTCCAATAATCTTTTTCTGCGCTGTTCCTCATATATATTTTCTCAATCTCTATAAAAAAACCAACAACCTACTGCTTTCGAAAACCAATCATTTTCTGTGGTATTATTCAGTAATGTAATTTTAATGGAAGGTCAGTTTTCTCTTCAGATATTTTGTATGCGCATGCCTCTTTGGATCCGGGCCACCAAAATCCTTTTATTTTGTTTTTTAAAGAATCCATAATTGTGAATTTTATTATTACTTGAATCCACATAATTATTAATTAATTAATTCATAATCAATTAAGTTTAAAGCAGCAGGCAACAAGCACTATTTTCCTTTCTCTCGTGGATTGGATAAATGTATATCTTTTGGGGGTCACAGGCTGCATGATTTCAGATGGTGAGCCACATCCCGCCCATAGACTGTAGCTTACTGACCCCTGTTCTAGGGAAAGCATCTACAGTTTGCTGAATTGATTCAGGATTTTGTCTCCAGTGCAGGTAGACTTACCAGAAGCATGCAAATGAAACACTTGGTTTCCATATATTTTCATATATTTAAAATACAACTAGTCCTCAACTTACCATTCATTTAGCAATCATTCAAAGTTAGTAACAGTGCTGAAAAATAAGGCATACTTGCAATCATCACAATGTGCCTATAGTTACATGATCAAAATTTGGGACTTTGGCAACTGATGTGGATTTATGAAAGTTGCAACATCCCAGGGTCACATGATCAGCATTTGCAACCTTCTTAGTTGGCTTCCACCAAGCAAAGTCAGGGGGAGGGGACGGAGTTCGCTTAATGACGTGTGCTTCATACAACAGTGGTGTTCACTTAACTTCTAGGGAAAAACTGATCATAAAATTGGATGCAACTCACTTAACAACTGCCTCAATTAGCAACAGATGTTCACATCCCAATTGTGATTGTAAGTTGAGGACTATCTGTAAAATGCTTCCCTTTTTCATCTGAACCTGAGGCTCTTATTATGTACCATATTATTAATATTATGGAACCTATACTGCATAGTTCCAAGATGCAGTGAATGAAACACATATGTGTCCTGTGAACTTTTGTAGTTATTCTTAAGAAAATGAACATTTGTTGGTGTATGCTATGCACTGGAGAAAAGAAAGCAGACTTAAACCAATAGAGTCACTTCCCTATTAAGCCTTTGCAGGGTATGCTATAGACTGGATTGGTGAAAATCACTGTCCCCTTTTCTCCAACAAAACTCTGCTGAACCTTTAGTTGAAGCCAACTAATATAAACATAAAGGACAGGAGAGATGTAAGCAAGAAGAGTTTCATTTATTACCCTAAATTGTGTCTTCTAAAAAGTTTTTATCACAGTTGGGCTTGAAGATCAATATTATATATGGACAGGAAAATATGTTGGGGATAGCTAATGTAGGCAATGGGAATGCAGAGTCTGAGAAGCAAGGGTTCTGTTGACCATCACAACCTAAGTGCATTTATTTTTAAGAATTTGAAGATTAACTAATGGAAAAATAGTGAACAATACAAGATGTTATCCCTTCTTTCCTGCTCTTTCATTTTATTTTCTTTCTCCAGTTACTCACAGGTTTTTTAATGTTCTTTAATCATGATCATAATAGAAACTAGGGTGCTTTACACATCTTTATATACTTTATTAGTTAAATAGCCATTAGTATTAATAAAGAATAGTTACCAAGGCTAGCTTTTTAAAAAAAAAATCACTATGGTTGTATTGCTAATTTGAGGTAGAATTATAATTAAAAAATCAGTTTCTGAAATTCAGTCTAATTGAATTAAATGTTGAAATTTACAGAGCAACAACATATATACTAATAATATTAACTTTGGTAGTTTAAGATTAAACTTATTAATAATCAGTGATCTTAGAAATTAGGCTTTCTATTGATTTAAGACAGGTATCAGTTATATGATTGAAATGTTCAGTGTTCTTTCCTCCCTTAGCATATCAGTTATAATACTGAATTGTTTAAGATATGACCAAATTTGTGCTTGATAAATACAAATTGTATATCAAACTTTTTTTACCAATAAATAACCCCATCATCTTTACTTAAGTTTTTGGAATGACTTCCGACTTTTTTGCTGGCCAATTGTTAAGCAATCAAGAGTCTATTGTGGACCTGATTGTTTTTCTTCCTTGAATGCCATTTCTTCCTCATAATTTTTGGGTTACAAATAATTTATATTACTGTATAGCTGCAGTTTTATTAGTCATAGAATTAAAACACATTTATAATGTGTTATACTTGCAAAGTGATAAATAAAACTGATATAACCTCTTTAACTGCAATTAGAGTAAATCTGAAGGGTTAGTAATACCCATGAACTTAAAACTCAGTATTTCTGCCTACCTAAGACCAAATAAAATTATCTGTCCATACCTTAAAGCATTTCGCTAAAGTGTTGAATATTTGGATATTTGTGAGAACACCTAGCATAATTTGTGCCAACTATTTTTATAAAATTTGACTTTTAAAATAGGAGTTGCCAACCTTTTGGACCTCAGGGACCACCAAACTCATAATTTTAAACCCCGTGGACCATTAATATGAATTTTGACTAACGGTTGCTCTGTAGAGTCCCTGGGAAAATCCCCCAAAAAGCCTGCAGGAAAATTCCCCACCCTGTTTTCCTACCGATCGATCATTCTTTATTTGGGATCGCAGGATACCATCTCCAGCTCTGTTCTTGGGGATAGAGAGTCTTTGGGACCCTGCTCCAAGAGGCTGCGTAGGCAAAGACTCATTTCTGGCTGAGTTTGGGGGAGAGAAAGACTTCATGCAAGAGAGAAGCAGCAGAAGTCAGTTTTTCTCTCCCCCAAACTCAGCCAGAAACGAGTCTTTGCCTGCGCAGCCTCTTGGAGCAGGGTCCCAAAGACTCATTTCTGGCGGAGTTTGGGGGAGAGAAAGAAAGACCGCTGTTGCTTTCCTTGCGTGCAGCCAAAAGCAGAAGAAAGAAGCGGAAAGAAGCAGCTTGGTGGCCAGGCAAGGCGAGTGGGGAAAGTTCTCTCCCTATGCCCTTCCCCCCTCCCCTCACTACCTTGTATTGTTCACAATGCAAACAACGCAAGCCTTCTGTTCCCATGTGCCATGTGGGCAGAACAGCCTGGATTAATTGCTTTGGGAAGTACTTTCGGGGTGACATTTCTCTGCGGACCACCAAAATTTTCTAGAGGACCACCAGTGGTCCAGGGCCCACCAGTTGGCAACCACTACTTTAGAACACTTTTTCCTTAAAAATCATGTATATTTAAAAAGAATTACTTGCTGCAGTTACTTTCTACATTACTAAACAAAAAAGGCTATTATACAAAAAGAAGATACTTTACATTGATTGTATACTTTCTACATTGCAGTAGCAGCTTCTAGTAAAGACTTAATTTGGATCACATAGTAAATTAATCTAAGCCACTATAGAGAAAAACACTTTTTATTTCTGCCATACCTTTGCCTCTAAACATTTCTCTGAATATTTGAAAACCCTATTGAATAATATGGGATGGGTTATGATTTTCTTTTATGCCACATCCCACTTACCTTGTTCAAGAGGAAACCTGCTTTGCAAGGAGAAAAATGGGAATGATGAACTTACTAAATGCAAGTTTATTGTAGGATCTAAACCTGTGAATTAGTACACGTGGATATAACAAAACTCTATCCACTACAAAATCAGTGAGCGGCAAAAAAGAGACATAAATATTTAATCCCTACACTGTAGCACCATGTTCATACAAATGAAAGTTACATAAATTTTGATATCGAAAGGGAAGGAAGGGATTGAAAGGGGAAAAAAATCCATTACACTCCTTTAATTGAAATTTATGTTGAAGTATTCTAGTTGGATTCAATGTTATGTTTGTAGTAGAGACCCAAATAGACATAAAAGTTGGGGAACTCTTTAGCAACTAACAGAAAGCAAATACTGGATTAAAGATGTAGAGATCCTAAAGTTATTTTCTCAGCTACTCAAACATTCAGGAACACTGGTTAAAAATAAAAATGGGACTGTTGGAGCATCAGCAATTCAAATCAAAATTCAAAGTAACATTCAAAATAAAATGTCTACTGGTAACTAAGGAAGTAAATAGAAGTCCAAAGCTTGATTTACTGTTCTTGCCCAATTTAATAAGCATAACAACCCAAAGTATGGGTGTATATGTAATTCCTTACTTGTATAGTCCCTGGCTCCCTTCCTTTCCACTGAAGAAGTATTTGCAAGTTGAGATACCAACTTTCTTGTCTGCCTGGGCAATTTGCTGACCCAGATGATGGGCAGAGTTTAGTTTTACAGACCTAATAAGGATAATTTATCAGATGTTTCCTTTGCAGACTTCTTTCCAATCTCCCTTAGCCTTCTTCTTCAACCCCCACCTGCCCTTCTTTCAAAGCTACCTTTATGCTCTGAAAACACTGCTGTTGGTTGCTCTCAAGGAAGTTGGTTTTTAACTTCTTTTTTCCCTAACTCAGGATTCACACAGCTCTTTTTGAGAGGCTTCTTAGGCTTCTAATCTAACATGGGGTAGGAAGGGACCAGCCATATTTGTTTCTTGATTTCTCTGATAACTTCTTGCCTGACTGGAGTAAGCCATATAACACAGAGGCAGTATCTTGACTATCAATTTTCTGGCTCTTAACACATCTTAGTGAATAATGGCCCTTCTGTTCTAAATAGCTAGCTTATTCTGCAAGTAACAGATTATAATATATAGATAAAAATGCATCCTTAAGAGAAAAAAAGGAAAAGAAAAAAAATCAGCAGTAAAAAATAAGATTCATTTTTTAAAATTGAAATTAATCAGGAAGAAAAATGTTAGGTTGATTTATGTTTTCTATAAGAAACTACCTTTTCAGAGAAGTAAAACAGGGTTTTGGGGACATTTTTAACATGTTTTTTGACATGGGTGTCAAACTCACCATGTCATGTTGCCATCACGTGACATTTTTGACATTTTTCTCATTCACGGAGCTGAGGTGGGCATGGCCTGTATATGACACATCTGGCCCTCAGGGTGCCAGTTTGACACCCCTGTTTTAAGATATCAGACATTTTAAAAATTGACTAGCCAATTAGAAGGATTATACAAAATATATCAAATTCTGTAAACAAACTAGGCCTTACTCATCTTATTATGGCATCTTCTATGCTTATATTTGTCTTTTCTGAACCTACATCTATCAGTTATTCCAATCTCTCTCTCTGAGCTTGCTATCTGTGATCCTATTTTAATTTTACCTATCTTAGGGTGATAAAAAAATTAAAGCAATTGCACAGTACGTCTAATATTAATACTTAGGTTTAGATAATTTGTGTATAATATATTTAAATAATTAGCTAGTAAATATTAGGCCATTTTCATATGTTAAAACATTGCACGGAAAAATTTATTTATCACTTCAGAATATACCTGGAGGATCTGCATCTGTGAATATTCTCATAATATTTTTAAAAGTCTTTATAAGGATAAGATATTAAAGAAGGAGCTTTGTTAAACTTTTTCTGATCTGCAAATAATAAGAATGGTTTGGATTGCCTGTTCTGCTTTTATTTTTATATAAAGTTTGGGGTTTTTTTCTATTTCTTAAAGATAGTTGCTTTTATTTAAGACTATTCTAATTCTCTTGAAAACCATATAGGAAGAAGAGAGATGTAAAAATAAAATTAATAATATAAACATGAGACCGTTCAAACATGCAGACCTTCCTTCTATTCTGTAGTATTACTTCCATATTGCTGTATTCTATAGCATTCATTTTTTACAATGCTATGATTCAGACAACAATCCTTTGAAAGTATATATTAGCCAACCTGAATTTTGATGCTACATTTTCATAAAACATAAATTAGTTCAAAAACATATAAAGTATGAGGTACTTCAGAGTACATGTGGATCTGTCCATCCTGAGCAGTGAATTTTGAGCTATAATAAATAGTCTAAAAAGCGCCTACATATATTACATTAGACCAGCTGAACCTAATTTTATATATGCTTTAATCAAAAGCATCACATAGCAAGTAACTTCAAAATTAAGTGTAGTTACAAATAGTTGTTTCTTATTTTTTTTTCCAGTCCCCTTTTGCTTTCTTTAACGACCACATGAAACTTGAGAAGCCATCTAAAGCTAAATCATTTAGTGGAGTTGGGCAGTTCCCAAGTGTCCAACAAGAAGGCCTGGTTTAGGCTGCGATGGCCACTGTCATTCCTGGTGATTTGTCAGAAGTAAGAGATACCCAGAAAGTCCCTTCAGGGAAACGTAAGCGTGGTGAATCCAAACCAAGAAAAAACTTTCCTTGCCAACTGTGTGACAAGGCCTTTAACAGTGTTGAGAAATTAAAGGTTCACTCATACTCTCACACAGGAGAGAGGCCCTACAAGTGCACACAACAAGACTGCACCAAGGCCTTTGTTTCTAAGTACAAATTACTAAGGTATTAAACTCTATTTATTTTTCAGATTATATTATGTGTTGGCCATTTTAATATATGTGTACACTTCAGCTGAGAGGAAATGTTAATTTAGACATCAAATTGTACAATTATAAACCACTACTTAATATTATAAACAAATATAAATATTGTGTGTGTGTGTGTGTGTTTTTGAAGAGAAAAGTTTAAACTTGTTACAAAGAAGTGAATGGACTGAGCACTTTGGGTATGGCTATAAGAAGTAATGTTACATAATAAATTGTTAATGTAACTTAAAATTATCAAAGTATCAGTTGAACGAATTAGCTTATAATTTGTGTTGCTACATTTTAGTATGATATGTATTGTCTGAAGTGACATGTGTAATTTCTTTCAAAAATATTTAGTATTTAGGTATCGTAAAAATGAGAATATGTACCTGGTCAAAATAAATACTTACAGAATATATCTGTGTTTAAAGGCATATGGCTACTCATTCTCCTGAGAAAACCCACAAGTGTAATTATTGTGAGAAAATGTTTCATCGAAAAGATCATCTAAAGAATCACCTACATACACATAATCCCAATAAAGAGGCCTTTAAGTGTGAAGAATGTGGAAAAAACTACAATACGAAGCTTGGATTTAAGCGTCACCTGGCTTTGCATGCTGCAACAAGCGGCGATCTCAACTGTAAAGTATGTTTGCAGACATTTGAAAGCACAGGGGTGCTGCTGGAACACCTAAAAACTCATGCAGGAAAATCATCAGGTGGAGTGAAGGAGAAAAAACACCAGTGTGAACATTGTGATCGACGGTTTTACACCCGAAAGGATGTCCGAAGACACATGGTTGTACACACTGGAAGAAAGGACTTCCTCTGTCAGTATTGTGCACAGAGATTTGGCCGGAAGGATCACCTAACACGGCATATGAAGAAGAGTCATAATCAAGAACTTTTGAAGGTCAAAACAGAGCCAATGGACCTTCTTGACCCATTTACTTGCAATGTTTCTGTGCCTATAAAGGATGAGCTGCTTCCAGTGATGTCTTTATCTTCCACTGAACTGACATCAAAGCCATTTACAAACACTCTACAATTAAACCTATATAACACACAACTTCAGTCCATGCAGAGTTCAACATCTGCACACCAAATGGTTGCCACATCATTACCTTTAGGAATGCCTTGTCCAATAGATATGGAATCAATCCACCCTTCCCACCAGCTTTCTTTAAAATATCCACTCAGTTCTACCTCATATACAGTTTCTATGACTGAGAAAGACCAGCCATTAAAAGGGGAAATGGAAAGTTACTTAATGGAACTGCAAAGTGGTATGCCTTCTTCATCCCAAGATTCTCAGGCATCATCATCTAAGTTAGGATTGGATCCTCAAGTAGGTCCACTAGATGATGGATCTGGAGATGTTTCTCTTTCCAAAAGTTCTGTTTCTATAAGTGAACCTCTAAGCAACCCATCACTGGACTTCTCTCAGTTATTCAATTTTATACCAGTAAATGGACCTCCTTTTAATCCTTCTGTTTCTGTGGGAAATCTTGGAATGAGTTATTCACAAGAGGAGGCACACTCATCTATGACTCAGCTTCCTCCACAGGCACAAGACCTTCAAGACCCTGGTAATGGTATTAGTCTTGGGTCTCTTCACTCATTGTCTGCAGCTTTCACTAGCAGTCTAAACACAACCACAACTCTACCACGTTTTCATCAAGCGTTCCAATAAGATGAGAAAATGGCCTTGTGACAAATCTGTAGAAATGCCTTAGATGACTTTAAATACTGTAGTGCCTATGTCATTTACCATTGTAAATCTACTTTTGTACAGTACCAGTCTCATTAAGCCAGTATAAGATTCAAATTGACTTTTAAAATAGTTTGAATGTGTTTGTTCATAGTTGTTTACTCTGGTTGTTAAAACAATCTGTATCTTCACTGCCAATAGATCCACAAATTTTAAAAAGTTTATGGAAAAAATATTTCCAGAACATTATGGATCTTTTGTTTTAAAGCTTCATTGAGATTTTATAATTTTTATGATAATTAAATGTGACTCTTCTGATAATTTTAAGAAAGAACAAAACATTAAAAATTTAATTTCATGAAAAATTTATAAAACAATTGAAACAATGATTTATAAATGAGTACATTTGTTACCAGTGTGAAAAATTGTTCAGCTTTTTACATGTAGATTTTTTGGAAGGTCTGAAGGACCTATTATTTTTCTTAAATAATTTCACAATTAGGGGTGTAAATGTATTTCTTCATTTAAGTGCAATTACAAGAAGAATGATTTGGCAAAAATAGTATGCCTTATTGGCAACTCTAAATAGAGACAAAATTAAGAGCTTGCATTGAAATATACATATTTTTGTTTCATCATTCTGTAAATATCTCATTTCTTATTCTCATTTAAAAGATAAGTCTGCCAAAAGGTTTCATGTTGTTGATTTCAATTTGAAGTTAGAAAATGAATGTAAATTCACAAATATACTTTTTCCATAATTACATTGGAGCTAATCACTTTTGAGTTGTATTTCATGACATATATTGTCCCCTGTGCAAGATCTTTGATGGTAAGCTTCCTTACTATACACCTGGGTATTTGGCTAGTGATTTTTTTTTTTCAATGCCAAGAATTTAAAACAGGACTCTCAGGAGTGAAGTAAAAGCATATTGCTTATGCCACTTTTACTTAATATTCAAGGTATTTAGAAAAACTAATAGCAAAACAGCTATTCATGCTGTATGTCAAATTGCTATTCCTTTTCAAAACACATTCTTATATCCCCAGTAACCAAAAGAAAGAAAAACTGTGATATAAAAATGGAAAATGTACTTTTGCTGTAATTTGGAAACATATCCACTGATACCTTTAGACTTTTAAGTCATGTAATTATCTCTATTCATTAGTGTGGTTAAATACATGAGTAGTTAAAGGAAATATATTTAGCAGAAACAAAGTTGCTCCCATTAAGGAGCTTTGGCTCCTAATATTTGTATCATAAGTTCCTACTTTATTGTAGGAGCAATATGCAGGTATGATTTTACTATTTTATACTGATGTATTTAAATTTTATTACTGAATAGTAACTTTTTATAAGTGTTTTGTTCCAAAGGCATTAAAATAAGGATGTATTAATAAGGAAAAGACCTTTTCAAATTTTGTAAGCTGCTCCAATATGCTGTGAGAATACTTTCTCAAAGTAGTCATTAGCTCTGCTGCATGATTGCTTCATTTAGTTTCTATGAAACAGATTGCTAAAATGTATCTTAAATGGAATGATTTGTTCAATATTGCTTTTTGGGCTTTTTAGCACCATTATTTTAATCCCAGGGTGGGGGTATTTCAGAAAGGAAATATTTTCAAAGGACTCGTATTCTACAAGAAATGTAAATGTCCTTATGTGCCTTTTTTGTAGATGGTGATTACTTTCAACCCTTAAAAACAGAATTGGCTTTAGCTTCATTGTCTTGATCCCAGTTTTTTTCATTACTCGTAATTATTTGTGTTCCTAGGAAAATACTGTCATTAGACAGTTAATTGAAAACAATTTCACTCATTAAAGAAGTGAAATGAACCAATTTTAACCTATCAGTTTTTCATATTTACCACTACATTACTTATAATTTTTGACAGGGTTGGTATGTATAAAGCATGTTATAACAATATTATCTGTTTCAGTATTAGTTGCTGGTCACCTTGTTTTTTAAAAAAGATATGAACTAGTTTTTTCAGTAATCCTTGATCCATGTTAAAAGTCCATATTGTTATGACAGCTCTTTCAGGTTCTGGAATGGGATTAATTAGAGAACAGGTGCATTTCAAATTAGCAATAGAATTTCAGACAAGATATTGAACCTCATTCAGTTAGTACTTTGGTAAATGGCTACATCTTGTGTGACTGCCACTGAAGATGTATGAATATATGGAAGCAGAATGACAGTGTGGGCGTTATTTACACACTAGTGCTTTATGACTATAAGTTAAGCAGAGACATTGTTTGGAAACTTTAAAATGTCAGTTTTAAAGCCTATTTTATAATTACCAGGTTAACTCTTAAGAATGAAGTGTTGTGTGTGCTGGCTGCTCATACACCACACTTTGTATGCTACGGATTTAAAAATATTATATATATATACATATATATATATATAAAATTTGCTTATGTTTTATTAGTAGTGAATTGTGGAATAGAGTGATTTATTCATTTGACAGTAGAGGTTTTCAAAAACCATATACTGACTAAAACATGAGCCAGACCTGATTGCTTTATTAAGCTAATAATGAATGTTAAGAGTACATATTTTCAGGATTTTACCTAGTGAGCTCTATATGTATTTTACGCTCTGTGTGTGTGTGTGTGTGTGTGTGTTTTAAACTAAAGCTCGATCAATTTCTGTGTTACACATAATACAAGATATAGCACTTTCAAAATAAAAATATAAAACTTATAAAAAATTCTTGCAGGTTATGCTTTCTGCTTTTTTAAAAAATATTACTTTTTCAAGTGCCATTAGATGACATATGCAGGCCTTTGATATAATGCTTTGGGTACAATATGGTAAACAGTGTAACTATTAATAGGTACATCATAAAGTATTCTTTTTTATCAATTTGCTCTATTGCACAGAACTAGAGTGTCTTTTTAAAGAGTTTTACAGTAGATTCCTAGGTTTACACTTTTCAACAATATCTTTTAATGCCATTTAATATCAGTCCAGTAAATGGAGTGGTTAACCATATTTAACTGTATACATAGAACTTGGAGGTTGCAGTCATGTGCCCACAATTGTTAGCGGAATCCCATACAATTAAATGGGAATGACATTAAGCACAGGGTTTTAGACTTAACAGCTCAGCCCTGTAAATTTTATTTGGAATACCTTTTAAGTTTAGTGAAATATATTCTATGCATTATTCATAGAAGTGAAATTTTCAGAATGTTAATAAACAGAATTTCAAAGTGTGATAATCCTGCCACGCAGTGCTGTTGTTGAAATTTAACACAGGCTGATCTTACAGCTATTAATATATAAAAAAAGGATGAAGCTCTTAATTATATGTCTCATACACTGGTTGATCAGATTAAAATAATGTGCCTCTGAATACAAAGATCTCTACATTTACATTAGATGTAAATGAATGAGCTGTCTATCAACATCATATCGGTATACAGTAAGTTAACCACCCATTTGAAATTAGAGATCATTTAATGTAAGTCATGTTGATTAACATACCCTTCACCTTTATAAAGGTGCCCACATGTTGAAAGTCCTTGATTTTCAATAAATATTTGACCCTAATTAACACAGAACTATTGTTAACTGTATGCAAAGATTTTTTCAGTATCTGCATCAGTGGTACAATTGAACCAGAATGAATGTTTATCTTCTCAGAAACACTCCTACAAATATATTATAGTGGATCATGCTGCTAATATAACTTAGGATACAACTCCTCTCATGGTGCTACAGATTTCCCTGTCTCATTTAGACTGATGTATTTTTATCCATAGAGAAAGGCCTATACTAGATTTATAGATGTATATTTTTATACTGTGACTTAATATGTCATTAATGAATATTGTATACCACAATTTTTTCATACACACTTTCAAAAAGTAGAAACTTGGACATATATGCCCAAATAAACCTATCATCCAAACTAAAATGAATGGGGCTTTTAATATGGTGTGAAGTGAAGAACATACTTGTTTATAAAAGCTCTTAAATATTGACAGACTGGGAATTAACATAAAAAGGATGACATCTGAAACAAGCCTGGATTGCTGAAATTATATTTTTAGATAGTGAGAAATGTTTGAACTTGTGTGCTAAAAAGTTTGAGTGATAACAGATTTTGAGTCAAAATAGAAAAATGCATTCCAGACTGAATATGTGTATTTCATTTAAAATTACTATCCTGTGATATGGAAATTTGTGTTGCTTATCATGTATATGTACTTTACAATGTATTCACAAACTACTGTTGTATTTGTATAAAATATAGACAAAAGATTGCATATATATTTTTGTGTATAAGCTCTGTAAAATAGCTATCACATTATGAAGCTGCAGCAGAAATTCATTTTAGACATTCATATCCAAAGAAACAGACTATTTATTGTCCACATACCCTGATAAAAATATAACTTGCTGCTATTAAACAATAGTGCTGCAGCTTCTTGCGGCCTACAGTGTTATGTTTGCTGTACAAAAAAGTATGTGAACTCCACAAAATATCAATAAAACTACAAATGGTTTTAGTTATGTACAAGATACGCCTGGATTTAAGCTGCTGTATGTTGTTTATCTGTTTGTTGGGGTAACAATGTCTTTGAGCTACGTTTTAAATTTGTGGATAATTGTCAATTTTACTATTTGACAGAAGAATGTTAAATAGCAAAAACTGCATCATTTGGCCCGAGAATAAGGGAAACTGCTGGGTAAAATGCATACTCCACATTCAGAAATTCCTGTATGTGAGAGAAAAAAGTCCCCATGCTGCATTTTAGAACACCTTACAGATTATCCTGGATTTTTATTTTGTTTTGTTTTTTGGCCTTTGAATCGGTTTTTAATTCCTGGAGATTGCCTGGACTAGTCACTGCAGTATTCTTGGCAAGGTTTTAAGAAATGGCTTGCCATGGCTGCTTCCTTGAGCTGAGAGAAAGTGTGTAGCCCAAGGTCACCAGCTTTGTGCCAAAGGCGTGACTGGAATTCACAGTCTCTTGAGTTCATAGCCTGATGTTTTAACCTCTATACCAAACTGGCTGTGCTGTTGTTTGCCCACCTCAAAATGCTTTGACTTTCCTCCCATGATTCCAAAACACAAAACTTTATAAAACTTTATAAGAGAATATGCAGTTTCTATTGAGGACAACATTGTGAGGGTTCCACATTAATAGTAGCTCAGCCCAGGATTATTTGTTGTTGTATTTTGAGAATCTTAATGAAATATGTATCATGTTTCTGAAAGACTCTGACTTTTAGTCTCTCCTCCATGAAAAGTCTGTACTGAAAGATTTACCCATGCTTGTGGGGAGAATTCAGAAGGAAGACTAACTGCTTCGTGCAGCTTTAACCCCTTAAGATCACAAAACAAAGCTGTGCAGCCCTAAATGTGAAAATGTTTCAGTGAAAAATCACAAAACAATATCACCAGTATGTCGGCTATTAAAAAGAATACTTTCTGAAAGATGAGGAAACGGGAAAAATATGAGAAGGGAACCATTAATTGTTTTCCACAATGCTAAGCCCAAAACAAAATACTTTGTATAATCTGTGTGAACCCATTCAAACAAAAATAGTCTATCCATGCTATCTGCAAATTATATAGATAACAAGTAAAATCTTATTACAGAGAGAATGGTCAGAATAGTTTAGAAGGATTAGGTTGAGGGCAAGCTCATAGTTCTGTGAAATTGAAATATGTGAAAGCCATAGTCATAGATATTTTATAGTACTACGAGCTCTTCCATTTCTAATATTAATGTTGAATACATCAATTAGAAAGTATACTAATTACGGTATGAATCTATTTTCCTCTAAATTTCAATAGTGAAACAAATGCCTCGTTATACAGTACCTAAACAAATCATTGTGCAAATACAGGGTTTAGACTAGTACTGGAAGATACAATTTATTCAAGTTTCTCACATTACCAATTCTAGTAAGCTGAAGAGGCTGAAGTGAGCACATACTGCATTCAATTTCCAGTAGCCAAATCATCTCTGTTTCCCAATATTGGCCATTTTCAGATATGTGGGGTACATTCCCAGAATTTTCAATGGTCATGTGGGCTGTGGAATACTGGGAGTGGAAATTCATACAACCAAGGTTGGGAGACACTGCTATAAAGTCGATGATGAAAAACAATATTAAAGCTCAAAATCCAGATGACTGTAAACTCTACTTGTGTTCTGCAAGTGTAACTGAATTATATCAGAAATAGGAATTCTTTTATAAAGCTTTATGCTTCATAGAATCTATCACAACAGTTATTCAAATCCACTCTGTTTTTTTTAATTGACACAATTTTGTACAAAATTGGAAACATGAAATATGAGGTGAGTGAATCTAGTAAAACTGGTTTCTTCATAAGTATACACTTAATTGAGAATAACTTGCTAAGCCTTTTTTGATATGAGAACAATAAAATAGTTGGTGATTCATAGGTTGGGTTTTTCCTCTGCACTTTTCATTGTAAATTTGAAGGAGATAACAAGATTTGTGATTTCATCACAAATACCATCTATTTATAGAATTTATATAGCCACCCATCCTCCTGGCATGTGAGTCTGGGAGGCCTACACAATTAAAAATAGAAACTACCAACATAATTAAATCATTAAAACATAACAAAAATACAGGAAAGAGTGAAGTCTACACTTACAGCAATGGACTCCACGCTTCCATGGGATTCCCCAAACCTGATGGCAAAACCCAAATTTGAGGAACTTCCAGAAGTCCAACAGGGTTTGTCCAATCTTACCTTGGGGAGGGGTGATTTTCCAGAAGGTGGGTGCCAGGCCAGAAAGGCTCTTTTCCTGGATCTCATCAAACAGCTTCTTGGACCATAACATTCTCCTGCCAGACCTGATGGGACAAGTAGATGTAATCGGGGAGAGATCTTCTTTCAAATAACCTGACTTCCTGCCATGTAGGGTTTTGAAGGTTATAACTAGTGCCTTAAATTATATCCAGAATCAAATTGGCAACCAAAGCAGCTTATGCAACAAAAGGGTAAGATATGCATACATGTGTTTGGGGCACAAATAATGCCCCCCTACTGCTGTATTGTACATCAGCTGAACCTTCCAGATACTCTAAAAAGACATTCCCATCAGTGGTGGGATTCAAATATTTTTGCCACTGGTTCGGTGGACATGGCTTGGTGGGCACGCTTTGTGCACATGCACACACTGCGTGCACGCGCGTACCAATCATGCACTTTGCGCAGGCACAGAAGCGTTTGCAGGCACAGAGGCATTCTAACTCGCCTCCTGCAAGTCTGCACAATCCCTGTCGCTTCAGCAGCTGCCGTGCAGCACTATTCTGTGGCGCGCAAAACAGCTGCGCTTCAAATTCAGCAGATAAAGGTGAGTATGGGAGCCCAGGTGGGCAGGTGGGTCCAACAGCAGAGCGGCGGAGAGAAACGGTTCGGTCTCCACTGCTCATCACTGCTGCCGGCTCGCCAGAACCGGGCCAAACTGGTAGAATACCACCACTGATTCCCATGTACAGTGTGCTATAGTAATTCATTTGGGAACTCACTGTGGTATGGGTGACTGAATTAAGTCTCTCAATCCATATCCCAGTATATAGAGTATCTCTTTATTCTAGCATGAACTCCTACATTCTCAGCCTTTAGTTTGTTGAACATAATAAAGGAAATGCTGCGTGAAGTTGGTAAGCAAGAGTAATAACTGGATTTATGTTTCCCTATATAAGATAAAAATCCAATATGATTCTTTCCTATCAATACAAGCAATTTAGTTAAATTACTTTTAAATATTGTTCAAAATTGTTCTTTAGCTACATGCATGCCAAATAAAAGATAAGATTGCCCTCTTGTGTAGACAAACTGTATTAAACATTTTGTTAACCTTAAATCCACAGCAGGAAGGCAGTACTGGAATTCTAAATTAAATTTAATTCTAAATTTAATTCTAAATTAAAATTTTCAGGTCAGATTTGTGATCATTATCCAATTCTAAGTTCAGCAACTTGCCACTTTATGTGAGTAGTATTTAATTTGGGATTTTTCTGCTTAACATAATTATGTTATAATAGGAAACGGCAGTTTTTTTAAAAAAGCCATTCCTTTATTTGAAGTCATAGTTTTTCATTATTGTGTAATATTAATTCTAAAGGTTCATTAAAATTTAAATGACAGATTAGTATAAGGTTCAGAAAACATCTTGAACATCATCCAACCCAATTCTATCTCCAGTTCAGGAACTTAGAACTACAACTTGTACCTATACATTACTACTACTTGTACATATACATCTTCTACTTGTAGCTTCCATTCCTACAAGAGGACTAGAACTTACCATTTCTCAGATTCTAGTTCAGCATCGTAACTAAGTGCAGACCCAAAAGCTTTAGAAAGAGAGTAGCTATTAAAAAACAAATATAAGGCAGCATAAGAACTCCAAATACATGGCACAAAAATTACTTAGTTAGTTCAATGAGAGTTAACAAAAGGCCAGATAAGTTTCCCTATAGAGGGAATTCCTTCTCTTTGATGACCTATCAGAGTAATTTCTTCAACCAGACCACTGATTATTAAAAACCAGAAGGCTTCAGGTGACAAATATAATCAGAAATAGGAATTAATTCTGCAAAACCTTACAGTCCTTTATAATAAACATTGCTTTGACTTGTTCTTGGAACCAATTTGAAGTAGTTAACTTGTAGTTAACCAAATATGATTTATACACTCCAAAGTAGAAGTTCTAAAGCTCCAAGGGCTGAATTTTTGTGAGAAGAGTGGATGCTTTCAAAGGTAAGATTTAAGAATATTTTATAATATTTGATACCATTTAAATGAATTGGATACATATCTATTGCTAGATATTGTTAACCTGAGATTTAACCTGGAAATAAGGAGAAACTTTCTGACAGTGAGAACAATCAACTAATGGAACAGCTTGCCCTTGGAAGTTGTGGAAGTGCCATCACTTGAGACTTTCAAGAAGAGATTGTACTTCCATCTGTCAGAAATGGTGTAGGGTCTCCTGCTTGGGCAGGCAGTTGGACTAGATGACCTACAAGGTCCCTTCCAACTCTTTATTATCTGTTATATGGATACTGTGGATTAGCCAAATCTGTTTCAGGGCATTCTCAAACACCCAACAATGATCCTCCAAAGACAGATCAACTTTGTCTAATGCAAACATGGCTCCCAAGTCTATTTTGCATAATAAAGCTTCAGTTCATTACCCACACCCAATCTTCACACCCAAACACGATGTCAGAAAGCTAACTGCTATGAACATAACTGGGCTTTTTTTCCCATTAAGATTCTCTCATTTTGAGAATCAGCAACATATTCAACCTTCAAATCCTTAGATGACTTTTAGTGTTAATGGTATCCCATTAACTGACTCAACTCCAAAGACCCAACAGATCCTTTAAAAAATCTTGGGAATAAATCTTCAGGTTTAGTCAATGATCCTGCAAATGTTTGGATCTGCTTGTACAGAAGATAATTGAAATATTATCTATTTTTGTGATCTTCATAAATTAAACCTTAATTCATCTGTCTGTTTATGAGAGGAAGCACTCTCATTCAAAAACCTTTGGACAATAATGCATAACTCAGGATCCTGGAAAGCTCATTTATATTTACATTAGCTACAGTGGAAGATTCTTCTGTATCAGAAGAGTTTACTCCTACAGGCATTAAAATTTCTAAAGTCAAACTCTTGAACAGGGAAAGATCTTGTATGTGACACAGGTTGAGACATTAAAAATAACAAAGGTTCTATAAACTAAATTTTTAAAGTTAATACTTGGTGCATTAATCTATAATGAAGGCATCAAATATGAAATAGGTATGCCCAAAACTGAATGTGGGGCTCTGAGGGAAATTCTGAGTTATGGTTAAAAGTTTTGTTTCTTAAACTTAAAGTGAGAAGTCACTTTAATGGATGACAATGCTCCATTTGCCTTGACTGTAGAAAATAAACTACTCAACATTGGTCTATCTAAAGAATAGCTAATCAAACCAAAATTAGCATATGTAAAAGCTGGAAAATGTAGAATTAC